CTTCATCATTATCTCAGCCTTTACTAAATTGAGGAGGTAACAGCATGTGACCTATGCCAGAGAATATTCATTATAAATAGATGATTATTCGGCAGATAATTACCTGCTGAGTATGAATAATCCGATAAAGGAGCTAGTCGGGTTTTAGTACGGAGAATATGAATTTAAGAGGTTGGCTTGAGATTAAGGAATGTATGAAATAATAATGCGTTACTATCTAACAACCAACTGATGAACAAAACGATGAAATTTCAATATGAAAATATAAATGATTATGGAAAAATGATGTGAAATGTGTTAAATCGGAGTTTCACTAGTTAAAAGAGTATTTAATTGGAACTGAACTCTGCCACTGAACTCTGGAAAATCGGATACATTTTCATTTAAAAATGATAAAAATATAAATTGAAAACCATCCTTAAATCTTCTGAATTTGCAAATTCCCAATAATCTTTATATTTCTTTCTTTATCATATGTGGCTCTAAAAAAAATTTAAATGTATTAAAATAGCTTGGAAATTGAAAAGTTGCCCTATTTTTCTGTTCAGATAAGTGACAAAATCGTTTCAGACATAGCTAAGTTTCGCTAAACAGACGTAGATTCTCAGTCATGAATTTAGGGCTATATTTTCCATTGGGTGGAAGTTGAAATCATCTACTAAATTATAAAGTTGCTTATAATATTGTTGGCTTTTGCTTAATCTTGGGTTTGAGGTTATTTAATGTGGATATATTTGGATTTACGATTTTTCGGAAAAGGAATGCTCTCTAACGGAACGCAACCAAATATTTAATTATAAGCTTCCTGGAATCACGGCAAATTCCGGAATTCGCATTTTGTTTAGCCAGAGTTCGCATATTTGAACACCTGTTCCGGTTGGCAACAACATGTGGATATATTGTTAAAGCAGCATGTGCTCCATATAAAGTGGTTATTTACTCGCGGGTGATAAATAATAAACGATCGAACACTAATAGAGGTTTACAGTATTTCAATAATATAGTTCACATTTTTACAAATTAAATGCAGAATTTGGTTTTTTTTATTTCAGTGTTTAAAAGTGTCTTAAAGTATTATCACTGGATTATTTCACTTCAATAGGTTATGTATGGAAGAAGAACTTATGAAAAAAAGGTGTCAGTTTAACAAAAAGTATAGACGTATAAAAACGCAGCAACTTGATAAAAATAATAACATAAATCCGGTTTCAGTGCATGCAAAACTTCAGGTTTTTTTTCATTTCTTTATTTAGTAAATGCTGCTTCGAAAAATCGTTTATTGGAAATTCATCAATCGCATAATTGTCGACTAAAACCTCACAGAATATTACATTATATGTTACTGGATGCTCGAATCATTAAAATACGTATATGGAAAAGAATTCATTTGTTGCTGTATATTACTTTTAGAAATGAACAATCAATCAGAAAATACTTTTATTTATTACCTTTGTAGTATTAAATATAATTTCATTAACGTCTTTAAAACGAAATAATTTAGGAAATTTACAGCAAAGCAAAATTAATGTTTAAATTATTAAAAATAAACAGCAACTGCGTAAATAATATGCGTACAAAACATAAAATAAAACCTTGTAAAACGCAACAATAAAATAACAGCTTTTGACCGCATTCTAAACATTTTTGTAAATAGTGTTCATTAGAAATCAGTCCCAAAGATTAGTGCTGTTAAAAATTTTATATTAAAAATAATATACTATGAATAAAGCAGAGAATCAAGGTTCAAGGCAAATGAAGCAGGATTTGCCATAACGACTACTCAGTCATGTATAGCTGGAAGCAAAGCTTCACAATAGCTTTTATGAAACATTGTGAATTTGATGTAATTGATGTTATTTTAATCCACACGTGTTCGACGCCTACGTTCTATTTTCAGCGTTTCATTAATCGAAACAAAGAAAACTTTTATTCAACTGTAAGTGAAGTGTGGGATTTCATAACCGTTCAAATGAACGTGAGCTGGAAAGCTTTTTAAGGAAAGCTTTTTAAAGCCAACTTCTCTGTGAAAAAAACATCGGAAAAATAACAAGTTTTGAGAATATTAATTCATATTCGACTACTGCGGGGAAATTTGAAATAAACCAAAGCTATAAAAGGTTGTTGAATAGCGGTCTCCAAACAAATGTGTGAAAATGATACAAAAGTTTTTTATAAATTTTAAAACTGTGCATACCAGCAACTTCTAATTGTTTTCACAAGGTAGTTTCAAAACAAAACTTCCTTGAAAACTCTTCAAATAATGATAATTATTATTTTTTAACTTCCTCAATCCCTCAAAATTCTAATATCCTTGATGAGTCTCAGAAGCTGTTAACTAAACAACCGAAAAAAAGCAGTGATTAATTACGCTTTGCTTAAATATAATTGTTGGCGCAACCGAACTGAGAAAGGCCAGCCCAAATCTGAACGTCCATGAATAAATCGTGATAAATCAAACTTTTACATAAATTTTAAATGAAGGCCCTGAATGTAACTAGTTAGGTATTCTCCAGACACTTGAATAACTTTTGTCAGGAAAACAAAAAGCAACGCAATATTCTCCGAGGAAAACCAATAACGAACATAACGCGATTGGTTTAATAAAAGTTAGGCAAAGTTTTCCTGAGGATAATAGGTAAGACGTTGGGAACTTTTCCTACTAGCTGTTGTGGCAAAATGTTGAATTATTCCCCTGAATTGCTAAAGAAGGGCTGACTGATTCTGAATCGTATTGTATGTTAAGTGATATTCATTGTGGCCCGAAAAATTTGTATTTATTCCCACCAACCAATGGATGGGAGTTGCATTTCAAATCAATTTAATCATACGGAACAAAATGTTTGGGGATTATTCTAGTTTATTGCTTTTTTACCGTTTTCTTGCTTCTGTCCGTATTACCGTTTTCACTGTCTGTTTAATAACTATGAAATAACCCCTAACAATATAATCAAGCTTAGATTTTGTTGAACTTTTATATTTCACGCATTAAAATAATTGTAAATAATAACAAAAACTCCTGTTAATTGAACAATTAGAAGTTCAATTGAAAAGCACTTTATTAAGTCAACTTTATCGCAAAGAAAATTCTTAAGATTTGAAAATCCACAGAAATGAAACACATATAAATGTTATTTTATTGAACTTTAAAATTTAATAGAAAAACTAAAGAAATCATTAGTTAATTCCAATTGTTTTAAGTCTTGTAAAATCTAAATAAGGTCTTGTGATCAGTGGCATCAATGTTTTCATACATGAAAAATAATATTCTAAAGCACAAACGATAAAGAAATAAATATACAGGAAAAGAAATAAAAACAATGTGTCCCCTTAAATAGAATGTTGATGAATACTGCAATTGAAATCGAGCTTTTCTTTACTTGGAAAGTAAATCCCGCGGCACATTAAAGCGCCATTGTCTCAATTTTCTCTCCATGAAGTACCCTCCATTTTTCCTAGGATTATTTTTAGAGGAAGTTTTGTAAATAGCTCGGTCCAAATACGTTTCGCTACGGTCTATTTACTTCCTAGATTGGACACTTGCTAAGACCACAACGACCAATTCTCTCGTCTCTAAACCTATTTTGCCCAGTAAAACTTTATGTACATTTTATGCGACAAGAAAATTGCAGGTATTTTTGCCAGAAAGTAATAACGGTCTTTTCTCAAAAGGTAGTTAATAAATTTTAATTTTGTGTGCTTAATTTTTACTTGTTTAGAACATTTGAAATACTACTATTTAGTTCTGAGTCTGAAGTCAAAGGAGTCAGTCAAAGTCAAATGAAAATTTCGAGGATTAGAATATGTTTGCACATTATGACAATATATATTTTTACTTCTGTGTTTTCTCTGACAAGTCGGGATTATTTTTTACTTGTTTAGAACAGCTGATATATTGCTGCGTTAATTCTAAGCTCGAAGCTGAAAGAAAATTTCAGAAAATAAAAATTTATCGGATTAGAACCTTTTCCAAACAAAACTGCTTCTCTCTGATCGGTTGTGATTACTTTTTACTTGGTGTGAACAATTGAAAATTATGGTTCTGAAGGTAGAGATGGAAGTTTCAGAAAAGAAAAACTTGTCAGATTAGAATATTTCTGCAAGAAAATTGCTAGTCTAAAAGCCCGAGTTAAACAGTTCCACAAAGTGAAAATGTTACAGATTGGATTATTTTTGCAAAAGAACCGCTAAAAACTCTTTGCACATTGCAGTGAAACATTCGTGAAATAAATTTTGTTGTCGTTCACTTACGTCCTTTCGCCCATATACTGAGTGAAATAAATGGATTATTTGCCAAACAAAATATAATACCTACGATCATTTAAATAATATATTCAAATGCAATAAAAGTGGTCTAAACCCCAACCTTTCAGTAATACCATTAAATAAATTTCCTTTAATTTAAGGCTCTATATGGCCCGTTAATGGCTCCAGATCCCGTCTCATTCCTGATTCCAACCGACTTAGGAGTTAGTAAACCCTTCCGGTTATTTACGCCCTAAAAGCTCTTCAGGATACAGTCATAAATCAGTGGACTTTAGTTCGACAAGCAGGAAAATAAAAAGCTAACGATATTTTAGAAATAACATAAATTTGGCGTAAGTGGGCTCTATTGCTTGGTCTGCGAACTTCGTTAACTAACTGAGACTTCTTATAGTTTGGGCAGTTTATACTTGGCTGTGCAACAATTTATCGAATAACCCACGGGATTTGGAAAACTGGATAGCAACCAACGTAATTACGGTATATTGCGTTAAAGAAACCTGAAGAACGAGAGTGGCAGGACTGAAAATTATGTTCCGTAACAACGCTTTCGAACTTTGCCAACTTGCCGGTTTAATGTGGAGGGATTATAGAGGTGAACCGTAGGAAAGCTAATTTAGTTCCCAAATACATACTCGTAGGCACATTCAGATGGATTAAATTTGTTCGAAGTGAACTCTATGTGGTTGGTCTAAGTATGTGAATAAATCAAAATAAAATCTTTGAAAATTGGAACTTACCTATTGCCGTCAGCACTCCCCAGACTCTAGTGAAAAACAACAAAACATCGAAGATCTGATCACAAGTCACCACACATATTGGAGATGATCTATTAGGCACGATATTTCGAGCACCAATACTGGCTTCTATGTTAATGCCGATTGGATTCGTGCCTAGAGCTGGAAGCATTGGGATTTTTTTCTAGGCTTCAAGCTTGGATGTGGATAGGGATGAAAGAGGCATTTTCGACGAGTTAAGATGTCGCACTTTATAGAGTCCACATAGCTGAGCTCACCTCACACAAGTCACTGCACTAGCTGGGGACTTCAGTTGCTGGAACAAACAAGCGAATAAAAAACAATTGAAAGTTTAATGAAGAATTTCGTTAAAAACATGTGTTTTTTTTACTATAATCCATTATTTATTTTCAAGTTCATAATTCTAAAAAAAGCAATTAATAATTATAACTTATACACATTTGAGCTCAAGCGGTTCAAGCTGGGAAAAAAGTTATTTTAACGTTTTGGTAATAATTAAAGTGCATGAATAAATTGCAAGTCAAAGCTAAGTGAACACAAAAAATTCAGTCCGAGTTTACGTTTTTTGCAAATTATATTTTTTTTTTTCGAAATTTGAAATTAATTTTGTTAATAACACTTATGAAAAAGAGTTTATTTTTCTAAAAGAAATTCAAGACAATACTTGTGGAAAATTGTAGATAAGTTCTATATTGTTGAGGCGGATTCATTTTTTACAAACTTCTTTTTGGGTATTTCGCCTCAAAAATTTTTGTCTTAAAAAAA